ACTGTTCCTGTCCATTCTGTCCCCTGACTCCAGCCCTGCCTTAGTGGACCGGACTGTTCCTGTCCACTCGCGACAGCAACCCTGATCATTCTTGTGCACTCCTCTAATCTTCTGGGAACAAGAAAGTGTAAGAACCAAGCCTGATTAATGCCATGGATAAAGTGAGGGTAGACCTGATCTAGAATCGTGAATAAACAGCACTGGTTCATTTAGAGTCACCCATAGGTGGGCGCACAGCCCCTTTCCTGTCAGCCGATGTGGTGCAGCTGCTGGACTGTGACCTAGAGTAAATACAATATAGCACTTAACATTGTTTCCCTTTTCTCTGTCTTTCGGGTATTAAATTTCCTTTCCACTTTTTCTTTAAAGAACTTTCAGATAAGCAAATCCATAACTCTTCATCGCTTTCATATTAAAGTATGGTAATCCCAACTATCAAAAGTATACTTTTAATATACATTATATGAAAAGTTTGGAATAAGAATTGTTTAAAAATTATGCACATTTAAGTGACTTCCAGGAGCAGAATATTTAAAGGTATTCTATGGTGATTCCTTACAAATAATAGTATTTACTATTAATTGCAATTATGAGCTGAGATTTTAAGGTATTTCTACCTGTTTATTATTGCTTTTTTACCCCCTTAAATTACTCCAAAAATAAGAAGCAGTACATTGAATTCGAGGAATGTCATTGAACAGAGAACATATGATAAACCATCCAAATAGAGCACAGTTTTAAATGCTAAGCAGTAGTACTTGTGGTATTTTTGGAGTTAGCATGTTCTACATGTGTGGTCACTGGGTCTCACTGCTCCTCGGTGACGGTGCTGGGGGTCCGAAAACAGCCTCAGTCTTTTGGGCTAGGCCAGTTTGGGTGACGTTTCTCCAAAAATAATAAAAGTTCCCTGTGCTCATCATCAGTGTCAAATATGAGGCCTTCTGATCAATTTTAAATAGACATTGCCATGAATAGGAGAGCGTATAGTTCCTGGTTACTGCTTTCCACCTGTGGAAGCCGTTTCTTCCTGTCCTAAGATTGCAGATGCTTTTGGTGGTGTTGGTCATTTTCTAAGAATAGTAGTTAGAGAAGCAGATGCCAGCCAGGCTTTTGTACATGATTTCTATCCTTATTACAGCTCAGTGTGGTATGATGAGGAAACTGAAACCCATCAAGGAAGATGAATCATTTCCCCAGGACCGTCACAGAGCTAGTAAATTGTAAAATAGTAAAAAGCCAGCCTGCTCTTCCCAGACTGACACGTCACATTGCGTCAGCCTCTGGCTCCCATATTAACAGCCCCGACTTCTTCCATTTCTTCTAGGAGACTGGCACAATGCTTGGTCCAGTGGTCCCTTCTCACCTGGCTCCCAGAGCATCCTTGTGAAGCAGCTCAGTCTCCTTTACCCGCTAGGCAGGAGTTTGTTTACATGAGGAAGTGTGTCCAGGATAGAACTAGAAGGTACTGCACACTGAGCTGATTACACAACCCACAGTTTCTCTTCCCGGTTCGGTTTCTGCCTGGCTTTCTAATTATTCCAGGCCAGGGCGCTGTGGCCAGAGTGCCTGGGAGCTGGCTTCCGGGTCACTTCCTTTGCACACAGCAAGAGTCTGGAGGAGAGGCCGAGGAGAATCTGCCCTCAGATTCTCCTGGCAAGGACAGGTCAGGCACAGGATTCTAACCTGGTCAGAGAGTCCCTGGAAATCTTGTCCAAAATGTGTCAAGATGCATTTTTTTTTTTCTGGGAAATTGCCCAAGAGCTATGTTAAGAGTCACAAAGGGGATCTCTGAAGGGATGGAAAAGCACAGAACCAGAGTCTATGTGGAGAGATCGCCAAGCTTCCCACAATCTAAGTGGAACCAAAAAGATTTCCCTACGCTCTTGAATCTTTCTCCCCATCTATATATTGATATCATGATGTGTGTGTGTGGGGGGGGGGGTAAATGAGATATGTGAGATCACACTGGAAGATGCCAAATAGACCCAAGCTGTCCCTCCTGCCTTTGGAATCGGGCTATCTAAGGTGTCCCAGCCACCAGTGCCATTCCTCTCCCCTCCTTAAAGGGCTAGGTCCGCATATGCCCTTACCCTGACACAGCATCAAGAAAATGTTCCTCTGACGACCTGCTGTTCAGAATAGCAAGACTTGAGTCATGAAATCGGGTGCCCAGCATCAGCATTAATGATAACATTTCTTGATGTTAAAAGGCTCTAACTGAGTCCTGGAGTCTGCCTCTACCTAAGGTGAATCTTGCCTCCTGAAAGCTGTTTCCTTTTTCCTACAACACAAGTAAAGTTTGCTTCTGGAAGTTGAACTCTCCAGTAGCGTTAACTTTCGGGAGAGATGAACGCCACAGTGGTGGTGACTAGTTAAAGGTGTGGGTGAATTTGAGGCATCGTTTGAAGAGTTGGAAGGGCTTGTGACACTAGTTAAGAAGTGACACTAAGAAGAAGTTAACAGTTGCTACCTACCCAGTGAACGGGCCTAAACCCTGGCATGTGCGCCAGTTAGGAAGGCAGAGTGAGTGAAACTCCACATGTGGGAGACCTGGCAGCCAGGCTGCAGCAGAGGAAGAGCAGATGGCGGGGGCTTTGAATTCAGCTCTTAGAGGTCAGAGCACTGCCTCGTGCGGCAGAACTGTCGCTGACCTTTGCCTTTGACCGAGAACAGCACACATGGAATGGACCCAGGACAGGTGGTTTTTATGGTTTTTGTATCAAATAAAAAATTAGCACACAGAGTGATATCCTCTTAGAAGATATTCTTGATGAAGATTTTCAAATATAAATGGAAGATTTATTGTCTTATAATTTCTAGATCATCTCCCCACTGCCTTAATCTAAACTAAATATGATGAACCAACTCCAAATATTTCAAAATAAAAATGAAACTAACTTCCATACAATTCCCTTCCCTCTGGTCTCATTTGTTCCCTGTTGCCTGGTAGTGACAGAGCAGACAGACAGACAGAGGGCCTTTAGATGGCCCAATAGACAGATCTGCAATAATAGCAGGGAAGGTGAAGTAATGAATGCAGAGTAGTAATAGCGTGAGAAATCTTAAGTATGGCTTTGACGTAGATGTATTTGTGATGTTTATGCTACATGACAGAGACAGGGATTTCATTATTCCTCAGGAAGAAATGTTCTCCAAAAGTATTCGGATGAGCTATTCAACAAGACTGCAGGTCTCTCTTTCTCTCTCTCCCTTCCTCCTTCCCTCCTTCCCTTCTGTTTTTGGCATTTTGAGACAAAATCTGGTATAGCCCTGTCTGGCTTTGAACTTGCTGTAGCTGAGGATGACCTTGAACTCCCAACCACTGGGATTACAGGTGTGTGCCACCATGCCTGGCCAGGCTGCCCATTTCTTAGGGCATACTAGTAATGGCGATGGCCACTGAAGCTGTACACACTCCACGCCAGCACCTTCCATGCCTTCTCAAAACCCTGGGAAGTGTGTGCTGGTCCCACAGCCATTTCACCGTGGTAGGAACAACCTAGGAGGGCTGTGAAACTATCCCAAGACCCTTCAGCTAGTCAGTACTGACACCAAGCCTCCCAGCCCAGCCTGTGTGACTCCAGGGCCTCAGTCCTCTCCCATGAGCTCTTCTGCCTCCTTCTAAATCATTACATCTCACAGACTCCCCAGCATGGTGCTTCAGATGCAATAAGGACCAAAATGGCTTCGTTGAAATGATACAGCTTTGCCTGAAAAAAATTCAGTCTCAACAATTTTGTAGAAATCAAAACTGTTCAAATCAGCACTTTCAGGGTTCCACAGTGAATGCCAGTCTACCCATTAGCCAGAGTGTGATACACCAGGAATTAAAGCATTCAAGAGCAAAGGCTGAATGTGACAAATTTAATTATTCTGCAGTAATCCAGAAGGTTTTTTTTATTATTATTATGATAGGCTTGTGTCTCTAATTTACCATAGGCGAGTGCTAAATGATTATGGAATGAAGTCCTTGATCCAGCTCTTAAGGCTCAGGCATAAATAAAGGTCTGTGAGATACACCTGTCATTCATCAGTCAACAGGACCTCTCTGTAGTGTGCAGCTCTGGAGGCTGGGGTCAGGAGACTGGCCACTTGGGCTCAGAGTCCAACTTGTTACCAAGTAGTCATAATGTTTTAGATAGTCTCCACTTTTCTAGGCCATGGTTTCCTCATCTGTAAAGTGAAGTTGACTATAGAATTTATCTTCTAGGTAACTTTGAGGGTATGAGGCAAGTAATAAGTTGGGTAGTTTTTAATAATAGTGGTAGTTTAGCTATATCAGAGTAGAAATTTGTGCTTTTACAAAATTTTCATATGGGTATGGTGGCCCACATTTGGGAGGCGGAGGCAAGAGGATTATAAATTCAAGGCTAGTCTGGACTACATGGTGAAACCCCCTGTCTCAAAAGATAAAGTCTCACTGTTTCATAGTTACCATTTATGGACAAGATCGGCAGCTACTTTTTATAAATATCTGTATTGCACTTGTTGAAGGGAATTCTTTAAATTCAATCTCATGGCCATTGCTGTAACCAGACAAGGGGCGCTGTGTTAGCCTGTGTCTTTGGATCCACCCTTAGCAATGCATTGTGCTGGGAATCCCAGAGAAGAGGTATGTGATTGTTGAACCAGAAGTTTTTGCACAATTCCCAAATTCTCCTGGGAAAGAACTGTCTTGTGCTCAGTTCTGGAGTTCTGAACTATCTCGGAGAGAGTGAAGAAAATCTTTCTAAAGAGAAAACATAAGTAGTAAGAAATACCTCTCTTTCAATTGGCTAATTCCTTTTATGCCCAACAAGAGTTGGCAGTATCTAACTCAGGATTTCCCAGAGGAGGAAAGTTTAAATTTTCTGCAGCTCAAGTAGTTTTTAATTTACTGACATTAGAATTAGAATTTGAAATATATCAATTCCTGGTATCGAGGGGTTTTTTTCCCAGAAAGTCACCTTCTAAGTATTTACCCTCAAAGAGTGCGAGACCCTCTCTCCTCTGCTCACCTGCAGCATGCCCTCACTGTTAGACTGCGGCCCAGCATGCTTCTTTCCCTCAGCTGCAGCAGCAGCCATCTGTGTGCACAGTTCGGGAGTCATGCAGCGTCTGCTGGAAACATGGAACAATGAGTCTGTTCTCTTCCAGGCCAGAGCTTACCTGCACATTGCTTCAGAAGTGGTGAGAAGATTGCAGCCACCTCCAGAATGATTCCCAAGCGCCCTGGAAATGTCCTGGTGTTTGATAATCACAGACTGTCAAAAAGGAGCCCTGTGGTAGTGTGGAACCCACAAAAATAATGACAATCGTGATGATTTTCTTTCATTTCTGAAGAAATGATGTCTCATGTTCAGATTCGATTTGACAGGCCATGACTCACAAATAAAGCGTGTGTGTGTGTGTGTGTGTGTGTGTGTGTGTGTGTGTGTGTGTGTGTCTGTGTCTGTGTCTGTGTCTGTGTGTCTGTCTGCTGACAGCTGTGTTTGGGGTTAGACAGCTGCTGTGTCCACGTCACTGCAGTCCTTTGCATCAGCCCCTCCTGAGGAACCGTGACCCGTGAGGCTGCAGTCCCAGGTCCGGAGAGGACTGCACTCCTGCTCAGTCACGGAGAGTCACTCCAAGTGTTTACTGAGTGCTGACATGGATGGAAATGGAGCACCTTGCAACCAGGCAGTGTGGTTGTGATTTTGGTTATGATAGTGTCTGAGTCACTGTTCTGTTGCTGTGAAGAGACCACCACCACCAATGGCAGCTCTTCTAAAAGAAAGAATTTCAGTGGGACTTGCTAACATTTAGTCCATTATCAGCATGGTGGCAAGCAGGGTGGTAAGCAGGTAAGGTAGATACAGTGCTGGAGAGGCAGCTGAGAGTTCTACATCCGGATCAGCAGGCAGCAGGAAGAGAGAGACACTGGGCCTGGCTTGGGCATTTAAAACCCCAAAGCCCACCCCCCATGACACACTTCCTCCAACTAGGCCACACCTCCTGAGCCCTGTCAGGTAGAGCCACTCCCTGATGACTAAGCAGTCAAAGATATGAACCTATGGCGGCCATTCATATTCAAAGAACCAGAGATAATAATTATGGTAATAAAAATAACATTTGTCAAGTGATTTCTATAGCCTTAGACTCTTTCATTCATACTGGTGGGCACTGTTCATTTTATGAATGAGGAGTGAAGGTATGGGAAGGTAAATGCCTTGTGGTTGGTCAGTTCCTATTTCTAGCAGATGACCACGCTGGCATTCGGCCACGTTTGTAGTTTGCTGCTGATGTCATTCCTTGTACGACACTAAGGATATAATGATTGCAAAAGAAAGGCTTAGTATTCCCTGTAGTCATGGCATCCCAATCCCCTCCTTAGGAGTATTCCGTGGTGTTCATGTTTCCAAGGATGCACTTTGAAAAACATGTGTCTTGTCTAATTGAAACACGGATACAGAGCCAAAGACACCCCAAGGTCAGGAAGCTCTAAAGCTGCAAGTACTGATAAGAATGCTGGAGTGCATCCCTGCTTTACGGCCAGCTATACGGAAGTGGTCTCTGCCCTTTGGCAAAGCCTGTGATGCCCTATGATGCTGCTCTTTAATTGGCAGCTGGACAGTTACTCAAAGGGCAAATATACCTTCAGACAACTACATGGACATTTCTAGCACCTTATACGGGAGAGCTGGAAAGTCAGGTTTTCTACAATGAGTGAATGGTTACATAGGTATAAAATCTCTATAGCATGATAGTACTCCACGGTTGAAAATTAGAAAAGTGAGGATTCTTGCAACAGTCTCATAAGATGGTGAACCTATAAAAGAGCAACATGAGGGATCCTAGTAAGGATGGCAATATTTCCCCAGTGCAGTAGTAGAGAGAGAATTTAGGGCTTCACACATGCCGCACAAGGGATCTACCACTGAACTATATGTGTACTTTTTATTTTTGAGACAAGATCTCACTGAGTCTCCAGGCTGTTCTTGAACATGCTTTGTAAGCCAGGCTGGCCTTGAACTTACGCTGTCCTACCTCAGCCTACTGTGTAGCTGGGATTACAGCCTGCGCCACCAGGCCTAGCTGATGGAAAAAGGCTTCTCTAGTTTGCTTTTTATTGCTTCTTTGTGATTTCGAGCTCCTACAGTTTTACAAGATAATACTCACTGAAGGAACTTGGTTACAGGCACATGGGATCTCTGTTTTGCTTCTTAAAAATTGCATGTAAATCTGTATTTATCTCAAAAAAAAGTAAAAATTGAATTAAAAGAAATCTGTATATAAGATGAAATGTTTGGACCAAGCAAGCTATCCATACAAACTCTTAAGAAAAATCTTCATGGACACACAGTAATCATTATTCATCACTAAAAAGACAGTAAAGTCTTAAAATTGCAGATATTTATGTGTGTCTTATATTGCTCTAGTAAGGGGCACTGTGTAAATACTGAGAATCGACTCCTGAAACCAAACTCACTTTGGGAAGGAAGCCTGGAGTAGGCGTCAGGGGCGCTTTCACCTGTGCCCTGTGACTGAACAGCTAACGGGGAAGTGGGGGAGGCTTCCCTCATCAGTCCTTGGCGTAGAGAAGATCAGCAAACACAACCCCCTGCTTCCTTGCTGTGGTGTCCGCGGATGCCTGAAGGAGCGCTGCTTGCTGGAGAGAAGCCGGCTTCGAGCTTCGGCGTGGAATCGGGAAGAGTGGAGGAGGAAAGCCAGGAAGTGAGCCCATCTAAGAGTCCCCTCTAGCTAGTCACGATTCAAAGAGCCATCATCAGACGACGTCCGAGTGCCACTAGTCTGCCTGTTGGCAGAGGTGGATGTTGAGTCCTCATTTGTCATATTTCCTTGAGTGTAGAGAATTAACGCTTCACTGTCCAAGAGGAAAAGTAAACTCCCAACTTATGGGCAAAAACTCTTCCCCAAATGTTGCTGGAGGGCTTCTCTCCAGGTTCCACCAAGCCCCGCAGTCCCACAATCCACGGATAAAATAATCACTCAGACGCTTATATCTCTTATAAACTGTATGGCCGTGGCAGGCTTCTTGCTAACTGTTCTTTTATCTTAAATTAACCCATTTCTATAAATCTATACCTTGTCACGTGGCTGGTGGCTTACCGGCGTCTTTACATGCTGCTTGTCCTGGCGATGGCTGCACCTCTGCATTTCTTTTCCAGCCAAACCTTGAGATTTCTAAGGCAGGCCACAAGGAAGCCCAAAGTTCTCCATCTATGCCTTGGTGGGGTTTTGGGCTTTTTTTTTTCCCTTGAGATAGTCTCACTATGTAGCCTAGGCTAGCCTTGAACTCTTGACCCTTCCTCATGCTTCCAGGGGCTGGGATTTCAGATATGTACCCACTTGTGGCTCCGCCTTGCATTTGAGTGGGTGCATCCTGCTAACTTGAACTTAAGGCGCGTGGTGGCTCACTGTGGTCACATGCCCTCTGAGGTAAGTTTGTGTGTGCTGAAGCTACAGCATTTGCCTCTGTCTGATTTGGTTTTCTCAGTTCCAAACAAGGAAATAATCCCCAAGCTCCTACCCTATTTTAAGAAAACAAAAACCTGGGAGTCCCGGAACATTAAAACCGTCTGTATGTAGAATCCACGTATCTCCATCACTCCACTCAAGTATTTCTTCTGAAAAAATAAGTTTACCAATGGACAGAAGCTTTTAAAAAATATTTGTTCACTTATTTAGTGCATGCATGGGCCGTGTGTGTTTGTGAGTGTGTGTGCTCACATGCTCATGCACAACCCTCTGGGAATCAGTTTTCTCCCTCCACTGTTAGGGTCCCAGGGATCAGGCTCGGGTGGTCAGGGTTGGTGGAAAACGCCTGTGCCTGCTAAGCCACCTCAATGGAGGGGGCTGTCTTGAAATTAATACACAACAAAGCACTGAAGGAGGACATTTGAATGGTCCCAGCGATAACTCCAAATCCTGCCGCTCTGAACTTCCCTAGATAATTTCCTGGTGTCTGTGCATGGATTTCTGTTGAATTGTTCACTTAAGAATGGAACTATTGACAGCTGTTAACTGATCTGCCATTGAGTTTTAGTTAGAAATTCCCAAACTACAAATGAGTTTGAACAACCTTACGCACACTTGCTGGCTAACGGAGTAGTTTCTTTTTGGTAGAGCCGCGCCAGCCTTGGGGCCCGTTTTGCTGGCGTCGTATAGTTGGCACTCTCTGTGTTCTTGGTGTATGTGCTGAAAATTTCTTTTCCCAATCTGCCACTGGCCTTTTCTTCTCATGACGTTAACTTCTGTTGAACAACAGATCTTACGCTGTTTCAAATTCACCATACTTTCCTTTCGCTGTTGACTTTGTGACCTAGCTGAGGGCCATGAAAGCACCACTTGGAATATTGTGTTTCCTCGTGGGTGTCTGATCTTCCAGTACCACCGACAAGGTCTTTTCTCTTTTGCCCCATAAAGTCGGTGGCGGCCTGTCCGGCTTCTCTTCTAGTCCACTGGCTATTTGTTTCTTCCTACTGATAACTCACCGACTTGTTTATCATCACCATGTTTTTCAAGACTATTTTAACAATCCATGATTCTTTACCTTCCCATATAAATAGCTTGTGAAATTCAAGGGCGACAACGAAACTCCTGGAGAGAATTTCAACTGGACTAAGGATGGGAGGGTGAGGAACAGTGTCACACCCACACTTAACACAGGGCAGGGGAAACTGTATGAACCACAGATTTTTGTTTTCTCCCAACCACTCAAACGCTGAAGTTATGTAACGACCAAGGCTGACCTTTGGGCTCCAAGGAGCTGTGTCCTGCCCGTCAAAATGGCTGTCTGGGAGTTGCCTCATCCCGTAATGAAAATGCCTACACCATTGCGAGCTCTCCCCATTCTCTCTCAGAATGACTTTCTCATATAATACCCACGGCATTCACCTCAAAGAGGGTGGCTCTCTTGTGTTTCCTGTAATCTTCCGCCAGTTTTTATTTTAGAGACAGGATTTGCTCTGTGGATAAGGCTGGCCTTGAACTGGAAATCCTCCTGCCTCTGTGTCCTTAGTGCCAGGATGCAGGAGTGATCATCATTATCTGGTGCCTTATTTTCAACCACTCTAAAAGACAGTGTAGCCTTTTGGACAATGCAGTGTATTGTGGTTTTATAGCAAGCGAGAACAAAATATATGGCAGTCACATATGCATGAAAAAAAAAATGATGAGGACTGAAGGTGTGCTACTGTAAAACACATGCTTGAAGGTAGAGCATAAAGAATTAAAGCCAGACAGTATAAACTTTAGAACAACTATTAACTTCTCAAAAATAAGGTAAGTCAGCAGTAGGGATAAAAATGGAATTATTAAAAAGCAACAACAACAACTAAACTTGATCCAAAAACAAGCAGAAATAAAAATACAAAGAGGAAACAAAATCAGTGGCATGGTGGCATAATTTAATCCAAACATATGCATAATCTCAGTAACCAAAAATATCCACCAATGGAAAGACATTTTCAGACTAAATAAAAAAAAGACCTAACTCTCTACTGTCTAAAAGAAAGCCGTCTGTCCCCCCATTTCTCTTCCTCACCCCAACAATGCGTTCTCAATTTGCTGCCAGTGCTGGCCTCTAACTCCTGGGCTCAAGTCATCCTACCTCAGCCTCATGAGCAACCACGACTCCAAGCACACAATTCCATAGCCAGGGTTTTTTTTTTTTTTTTTTTTTTTTTTGGTTTTTAAGACAGGGTTTCTCTGTGTAGTTTTGTGCCTTTCCTGAATCTTCCTCTGTAGACCAGGCTGGCCTTTCGAACTCACA